CATTCACAATCTAGAGAAACACGAGCACTTGAATATACTACTACTACTACTACTGCTACTCTACTACTACTACTACTACTATTATTATTACTACTATCACTACTACTACTACTACTGCTACTACTACTACTACTGCTACTACTACTACTACTACTACTACTACTATCACTACTACTGCTACTACTACTACTACTATCACTACTACTGCTACTACTACTACTACTACTACTACTACTACTGCTACTACTACTACTACCTACTACTACTACTACTACCTACTACTACTCATTCGTTCATTCGTATTAAAAAACTACTTTACTATATTTCATTTAATTGTTTTTTTAACTACGACTCTTACGACTACTACTACTGCTACTGTAACTTTTACTACTACTACTACTACTGCTGCTGCTACTACTACTACTACTGCTGCTACTACTACTACCACTACTACTAACAGTATTATGAAAAGAGCATTAGACAGTTTTACTAGTATTTTTACTGGTACTTATTTAGAATTGTTACAATATGTTATGACTATTGTTCTTATTGTTACTACTTCAAGTGGTAGTAGCAGCAGCAGTAACAGCAGCAGCAGCAGTGGTAGTAGTTGTAGGAGCGAAAAAATATTAATAATAGATGTCAGTATGACTACAGCAATAGAGATAATTAAGACGTTGTAGTGAAGAGGATGGTGAGGAGGATGATGATAGCGATGATACTACAATGGCTACGTCATAAATGATAATGACTGATAAAAATATAATAAAATAATAATAATAATAATGATATAATAATAATAATGATATAATAATAATAATGATATAATAATAATAATGATATAATAATAATAATGATATAATAATAATAATGATATAATAATAATAATGATATAATAATAATAATGATATAATAATAATAATGATATAATAATAATAATAACAACAGTAATAAACATTCATATGTTCTCTTGTTTAATACATACTTCTCTGTTAAATTGACAAAATTGATACGCTATAACGACTGCATACACACAGACACACAAACACACATACAAACACACATACAAACACACATACAAACACACATACNAACACACATACAAAAACACATTCAAACACACATACAAACACACATACAAACACACATACAAACACACATACTAACACACATACACACCA